CATTCAATTAATAAAAATCTATAGAATTCACTAATGTAATAATTTCTTTTATGTCTGAGTAAATCTTTTAGGTACAATACTTAAGGGTATGTGATTATTTCTTTTTATTCTATGTTTTCTTATTATAACTACCTATTTTATATGATTTAAGAAATAGGAAATTTAAGCACTCTAATCTTTCAAATCAAATTATTGTTTGTTATATTTATGACATTTTGCTAAAGACCTAGGAGAAGACAAAAAGTAAATAAAATCAAAAGTAAGTAAAAATGACTTTATGAAGTAGCACAAACATAAGGGAGTTTGTTAAAATAGAATACACAATGTATGTAGGGCCCTAAATAAGAATAGAAATATTATATTTTTCTAGAATTCTAAAACATATACCATTAAGAAAAGATCACTTTGTTATGAACTATGTTTATCAGGGGATTCATTTAGATGACAGGAGAGAAAAATTTTCATTTTTTTTTAAACTAATCTGTGTACTTACAATTACCATGGCCTTGGATATTTCTTGAGGCCAGTTACATTTGGCAAGATTTAATAATAATTAAGCCATGGGTTTTCATACATTATTTTTTCCATGGATTAATTATATTTTTATTCATATGAATTTCTTAGAATTAACTGTGAATGAGACTTCCTCAATACAGGTAAAAGCCAAACATGATTGCAGTTTTTAAAAACCATAATTGTAAGCTTTTGTGTTTTAAGTCATATTGTTTTAATCTAATCATTGGAGCTATAGAATTTCATCTAAAGCCTTATTACTTCCTTTGAATATTTTGTTTTGAGTTGGTAATTTTGCAAGAGTGGTTTATAATTTCTCAAGTTGCAACAGGACTTTTCTTCATGGAAATAAGTAATTCTCTTTCTTTTTATTTATTTATTTATTTTTGATTTGTGTAAATTTAAGGGATATAAGTGCAATTTTGTTTTGTGGATATATTGCGTAGTGGTGAAGTCTGGGCTTTTAGTGTATTCATCACCTGAATTATGTACATGGTACCCATTAAGTAATTTCTTACCTCTCGCTCCCACCTTCCACCCTTCAACCCTTCCAAGTCATCAACCTCCAGTGTCTATCATTCCATATTCTGTCCATGTGTACATATTATTTAGCGCCCACTTATAAGTGAGAACATGTGCTATTTGCCTTTCTGTTTGAGTTACTTCACTTAAGATAATGGCCTCCAGTTCCAGTAATTTAATTCTTTTTCTTAAGAGTTTATACTTACTATTAAGAAAACTAGCCAAATTCAAAATAGTTATCAATCAAGCATCTTAAACACTTCATTAGTGTGACTTAAGGGGAAAAAATAGACTGGGGAGAATAGAATGAGTGGCTTGAAATTGTATGCTTTTCAACCCACACTTGATAAAGTCTGTGGTTAGAGCCCAAGAACTTAACCAAATATTAAGTTATTAGAGTATAAGATTATAAACTCACTCAGACTGTGCAGGGCAGATTCCCCTACATAGGGAAATACACCTTTGTATTACTTCTGTGCATAAAATGTCTTAGACTAAATAAACAGTTTTTTTGTTTTTGTTTTTTGTTGCAAAATAGGGGTCTTGCTCTGTTATCCAGGCTGGAGTGTAGTGGCATGATCATAGCTCACTGCAACATTGACCTCCTGGGCTCAAGCGATCCTCTTGCCTCAACCCCTTGAGTAGCTAGGATCACAGGTGCCCACCACCACACCTGGCTAATTTTTTAATTTTTTGGTAGAGACAGGGTCTCACCATGTTGCCCAGGCTGGTCTTGAACTCCTGCACTCAAGCCATTCTCCTTCTTCAGTCTTCCAAAGCGCTGGGATTATAGGTGTGAGCCACCGTGCCCAGCCCAAATGAATGTTTTTGAATAAATGAAAATAAACTTTTAGAGAAAATTGAAAAATTACTCTTTAGAATTTTCCTCTAAAGTCAGTACATTATGCCAGTTTTTCTTACAAAATTATTTGCTGAAGCATACCTAGTTTTATTCTGGTGGTTATATGTTCTTTGTATTTTTATTTTAAGGAGAAAATTTTATTTATTTTTATAGGACTTAAGGGCATGGGCTTTTCTCACATTAACATAGCTTTTAATTTTTTTTTAACATATTAACAGGTAGCTGTCTCATATGTGTCTTGGAATTGGGGAAAAGGAGTTTTACATTGTGTGTTTCTTTGAGATGAGAACAGAAATAACAAAATGACAATATAGCCACAATATGTCTTTTTTTGGGTATTTTTTGTAATTAATCCTTATTTTCAGGTGATAAAGGAGGGTCTTAGGATGAAGTTTGTGTTCGTACCATTTTCTTTCAGAATTTAAATTGTGTAACAATGAAGCGAATTTATACAGCATTTATAACCTTCTTTGAAATACATTGTGGGGACTCTAAATAGCAACAACAACAAAAACTGTTTTCTTCACTGTGAAAAATGAGGATGAAGTTTTTCCATTTAGAATATTTTGCTGTTGTAATTCCAGCAGAATTATTTGATAATGGTTTATATACATAAAACTTCTAATCTCTTGCTGAGTAAAATATTATATTCTTTGCCGCCATTAGAAAATTAAAATTCTCATTGCTGGATGATATGTAAGAGCAACATTTAATATTCTAATAAATTTTATAAGAAAATATTTGTAAAAAATCTTAATAGGGATTCACTTCATGAGAAATAACTATTACCCTTAAGTCAAGATAATTGGAAATAATGTCTATTTATACATACTTACAGACAGAAGTAATCAATTGCTCGGATTAATTGAAGTTTCTATTTCATATTTAACTTAATCACCAGTAACAGTATTTTTGTAATTCTGAAGCCTCTAAAATCACGCAGAAATCTGTAAAATAGGGGAGAAAGTTCTCAAACTGGGATAAAAAATGTTCCTGGCTTTAACTCAATAATAGTCCATTAAATCCAATAGCTATGATGCAAACCTCCATGAATCAATAATTTTTCTAAAATAATTTTACTCTCACTTATTAATCTTAAGAAAAATAAATAATCATACTTCATTTAGAATTGAGCATCAGAAACTATTAATCTAGATTTTTCTCCTTTTAATAAACTCACTCTTACCATTTTCACCATTTCTTAGTAGAGGGAATTAGTTTAGCTAGGAAGAGCTGTAGGACATAAGTTTAGAGATTTGAAGGAATTAATGAAATTGTAGATTCAAAAAAGAATCTCTTTGTATTCACTAACAGATAACTTCCTGTGATTATGCTTATTCAGTGACTTCAGGTGGCCTTTCTTTTGCTGGCTTCTTTGTTAATTCTTTCTAATAGTAAATACTCTCATTAAAACAGTCATTCTCAAAGTGTGTTTCCTGGATCAGTAGCATCAACACCACCGAGAATTTGTACTTCTAACAAATGCTCGCTGTACACACAGTCCTGCTGAATCAGAAACTAGGGTGGGACTCAGCAGTCGGGTTAAATGGACTCTCCAGGTGATTCTGATCCACACCAAAGCTTGAGAACCAGTGTCTTCAGGAGGTCCTTGCTTTAGGAATTACAGAGTAGGGAAGACTATTGAAATCTCTTAATTTCAGTAAGTCTGCCAAATCCCCTTCAAATCCCTTTTTCTTATGGAAAATTGTTCCTCCAGAATTTTCTAAATGTATGTGGCAGTGACCAAACTTGAGTTTTCTCCATGCTTTCTCCTTTCTCTAGAGCTGTTGACACAGGTAAGAGGAGACAGAGTTAAACAGAAGTGCTGATGGTGAGACTTAGAGTGCTCAAAGATTTGAAACTTGGCTGTTTCCAGTTTAGGAAAGAAGTCATCCAATATTATTCTCTAATAACTATTTAATTGCTTAAAAAATTAAAAAGATGCCATAGTTTAGTTTTAAACCTTAGTAATATATTACAAATTATTTTATGGTTAATTACCTTTTTTTCATTTATAAATGTTTGCCTCATGTGTAACACAATGTTACCTGGCATTGTGGCAGAACTTGTATTATTTTGTAACATTGTTTAATTGCTAACTGTACATATCTTCTGTGTAGAAGAATGTGTGCTCATCTAATATATTGATTTTGATTTGTTTAATGTATCAGAATCACATTTTGTGAGTGTAAATATGGGTGTGTTCAAAGTAGATTGAAAAAAGTGAACATTATTGACCTCTCACTGGGTGCTGGGTGCTTTTCTGTGTACTTTACATTCCTTAGCTTATTTAATCCTCACTGGGTAGGTACTGCAATCATCTTCATTTTGCAGACATAGAAAGCCTAATGTGCCTAAGGTGACCTAGCTAGTGTATGGTAGAGCCAGGATTCTAGTCTAAGCAGTCTTACGCCAAAGCACTTTTTTAAATCTAAGACAGATAAATCTGTTACTGTGTTATTCATTTGTCTGAGCAGAAATATTTTCTTCATCCCCATTTTTTACTTTTACATGTACCAAAGTATTTTTAAGAATGTCAAATAGTGCTTATGTATAACATTCAACAGTGAACTATATAGTAATACAGCAGCTTGTAAAGAAAAGTAAATGGGCTTATGAAATGGAAAATGCCTAGTTTGGCACAGCATTCAACTGTATTATAGTGAATTTCAGTTATTCCCTTATTTGTCCAGATTTCAGGTAATACTTCCTTGAGAACAAGAGTTATATTATTTGTAACTGGCACGGTGACCCACATTGTCAGTGTTCAAAATCATCTTCTTTGATGGATAGATACATAGAGAAGGCATACAAGAACTCGTTTACATGACACTCATAGAGCTATGAACAGTCTTTGGCACTTTTGGGTGGCATAACCCCAATCTTTTTCATAGTATAGTCATTCCAATTTAGCTGAAAACTTTCAGTAGCCTTATGACTATATGTGAAACTGTACGGGGTGTCCCTTATACATGAAGCTTGCTATTATTCCATGGGCTAGAAAGGACATTTATGATTTATAAGATTTTAATTTAGAAGTAAAGTTTATTTGACATTTTATATTGAATTATATTTATTAGTTTTTATGTCTTAATTTCAACAGCATCACTGCAAAACTTGAAAGAGCTTTAGAAAAAGTTGCTCCTCTTCTTCGTGAAATTTTTGTAGACTTTGCCCCATTCCTATCTCGTACACTTCTTGGCAGTCATGGACAAGAGCTATTGATAGAAGGTATGATTTCTCTCTCTCTTCTATTATTTTAGTTTCCTATAATGTATGTATTAATCATGGCATAATTTGTGCTTCTAGAGGAATATATATTTCCAAAAGAATGTAAAGGCATTACTTCACAAATTTTAATAAGATATTCAATATGTTTTCTCTTCACTCATTTTTTTTAAGTAACATGTTTTCATGGTCAATACCAATAAGAGAACTTTGAAGATGAAGAACATTGAAAAGGTGTCAGAATGGGAGGCTTTGGCTCTTTAATCCATTTATCAGGGCTGACGTATATCCTGTCATTAAGATAACCTGTTTATTAAGCAGTGATCTCTGACATTTCCTTGTGACTCTGAGAGCCATGCATCTTTAAGTGATTTTTCTTATTCACATAACATTTGTAGTGTGAGAATCCTTAACTAAGAAGACATTAAAAATCTAGAGAAATACTTAAAGAATTGATGAAGCCGTTGTCTCCTCAACAGCAGCTTAAATAGAGTAAGGAGCCAAATGAGATAAATTTACTAGGTGAGTGGCTTTGAAAAATATGGTTAATCAAAATCTTATTTCTTTTTAAAAAATGTTGTTTTACAAATATTTCTGAGCTTCAGAAAGAATTAGACAATATCAAGATGATCTGTAGGTGAATAACGGCTTTAGATGCCATTTCAAGTAGTCCTGGGATTTAGCATCCTTGTATATCTTTTTTGCTTTTCACTTCCTGTTTACTGCAGAAGAAAGAGAGTTTTCTGTGCCTGTTCTGTTACTGTCACAACTGCTTCTACTTAGTGTTTCTATTAGGAAGACTCGGCATCTTGGAGCAGACTTTGAATCCTAGTTCAACTACTTTCTTAACTTTGTGGACTTTGTGAATTACTTAGCCACTTTGTATCTTAGTTTCCTTTCTATAAATTGGAGTCAATGGTAGCACTTTAGGGTTCTTGTGAAGATTAAATTATGCAGTGCATTTGAAGCTCTTAGAATATTGTCACATAATGAGCTTCTCAGGTTTCCAAAAGTACTGAGTACCTTCTGGGCTAAGTACTATGTTACATACTTTTGATATATAAGTAAACAGACAAAGATCCTTTTCTTCAGATGGAGCATATATTCTTACGAGGACACAAAATCAATAAGCATTGAACAAAATGAATAATTAAATTATATAGGGTGTTAGAAGATAGCAAATGTTATGTAAAAGGATAAATACAACACACAGAGAATTGGGATTACAGAATGTCAAGGTTAGGTTGAAGTTTAAAGAGAGTGGTCAATTTTAAATAGACCTCATGGTAAAAGTTACATTTGAGCAAAAACTTACATAGTAAGTAATAAAACTTCCTTAATAAGTGCCTTATAGCTTATTAGAAGAGGAGTGTTCTGTGCAGAGCGAACAGTCAGTACATTGACCCTAAAATGAGGATAGAAAGATGTTCTTGGTATGATCTACCAACAGGAAAAATGCCAGTCTCATGTGAACCAGAAGGACAGTAGTCGAATATTAGGGCCAGAGAAGTAGTGGGTTCTTTGGCTTTAACTAGTGTGTTGTAGGGAGGCTGCTGATGTGTTAAGTAGGAATGTCACCCTGGATGCTACTATTGTCATTATGATACTCGCACCTAGAAAGCGAAGTATTAAATGCGCTGAAGAATGGGATTCTGAGAAGAACCGTGCTAATTTAAAGCAGCCCCAAAATGAACTTTACAAGTTCTTGGAAGCTTAAAAACTATTGCTTGGCCACAGATTGTGTGTATAATTTATATAGCTTTGTTCTAGATGTGTATGATTGGTTACACAAAATCATATATTCATTGATTCATTCAAAACAGGAGAAATATTCCTTATGGAGCTTACAGTTCAATGAGCAAAAAGACATAAAAACCAATAATTAAAATTAAATAGGATATGTGCTATAAAAGGTACAGTGGGAAATGAGACTAGATGGCCTACTGACCACTTGCAGGGCACATATTCTTCTAACGGGGTCAGTGAGGTAGTTGTGTATACCTGGTCTTACTCCTGCTGCTATAAAGCCACTTCCTCATATTTATGAGGACACACATGTTTGAAAGCGTTATGTTCCCTGCTTCTACCTAACTCCTGTAACAGCTCAACCCAGACTTCTGAATTCCAGACATAGTTGAAGTTACCTAGCATAGACATCTAAACCCTTATATTCCAGGGATACCTCAAACTCTGTTTATCCAAAGTTTGTTTTCCCTCCATTTACTTTTCCTTCTAAATTTATTTGTTTTGTCATTAGCATTACTATTAATGAAAACATTTGAGGTGAAAATTTGGTTTTTCTTTAGCTCTTTTCTCCTTCAACTTTAATATTTACAATTACTTCATGAGAATGAATAATTTCCGAAAACAATATTTAGAGGCTAGTTTTTCAAATATTATTAACATTACAAATTTTATATCAAGCCATGTATAAAAACCTTCCACAGTAGCCGAAATATTATGTTAGCTGAAAGTGGTGGCATCATAGTTACGGAGTCTGAAAGGTACCAGGTTATCAGTTGGTCCTTCTTGAGTTCCTTTTTTTGCTTTTAATTCTTTTGATTTCCTGTAGTTAGATGCTGTTGAGGAGCAAGAATGCTGGTTATTGATATTTTTATTTTCATGCTTTTCTGTAACATGTGTTACTTTATTAAAATAAAGAAGTTCAATAAACATCATTGAAAAAACAAATCTTAAATGTTTCCTCATTCCCTACAAGATAAAAGCCTTTTATTTTTTCTGTTGCTATCTATCTTTTCCTAAAACGATTTGATAGGTTTTACAGAAATGTATAAATACTGACCAAAGACATAATGAAATAAAACAAGGAATAAAGTTAGTCATGTAATAATGTTAGTAGTGAGTCCTGCACTGTTACTAAAACTAAGACAAATTCTGTACAAGTTTTCTAGCCGCCAGAGCAAAGGCACAATTAAGTTATAAGACTCATGTTACTGGTTCTTAAGTGACAGTTTGTGGCAATTTTACGTTAACTGCTCTGTATTGGAAAATCAGGAACCCCTGTGTGTAGCTACTTTCCAGAATCTTCCATGGCCACACATTCAAATTGTTTCTTATTTATTTCTTCTCATCAATGCACAGAGAAAAATGACAGAGTAATTGAGAGCTATTTTTTTTTTAGCTTCTCTGTTTACCTCAGATATTCTGAATTGAGTGGAAAGACCATTAAGAATATGCCTTCATTGTTATCAGTGCATCCAGGTGAACTTGGATTTTCCTTTTTAATGTAACTATGCTAGAAATGAAATATTGGAACAGGTTAGATATTTAAAAGTTCATTTTGTGTTCCCTTGGCAAAATACAATTATATCTTGTAACATTCTACGTTCAAAGAATTTTAATACATCCTACTTTTTAATCTATATGGATGTAATATTTATCTCTTTGCTGATGTTAAAATGACTTTTCTTTATAAAATGATGACAGCAAATGATTGATTTTTAGGTTTTGAGTTTTGTTTTTTAAATGCCAGTAACTTGGCAGTATAAAAAGCTGACAACCCTAAAATAGGATCCTGTAAATTTTCGCTAGTTCATACAACCCAAAACTCTAGAAACCACAGTTCTTTTTTTTTTTTTGAGACGGAATCTGTCTCTGTCACCCAGGCTGGAGTGCGGTGGCGCGATCTCGGATCACTGCAAGCTCCGCCTCCCGGGTTCCCGCCATTCTCCCGCCTCAGCCTCCCGAGTAGCTGGGACTACAGGCGCCCGCCACCTCGCCCGGCTAGTTTTTTGTATTTTTAGTAGAGACGGGGTTTCACCGTGTTA